AAAAAAAAAAAAAAAAAAAAAAAAAGGCAAACAAAACCAAAACACCTCTTTATCTTGCATGAGCATTTGAATGTTCAGATACGGGGTGCGCTTAAAGATAATTAAATCTACATGCGTGAGTTTTAACCCCCAAGGCCCTGAGTTCTTGAACTCCTGACTCACGGTTGAGATTGCTGCTTCTTGCAAGGACTCGAATTCTTTTAAACAGAAAAGTAAGATTTCTTTGTGTTCATGTAAAACTCGGAAATGACCTTGTCATCTCCTATGAAAACTTATTGCTCACTGAGTAGAGCATTAATTTTTTTCTTTCATTCATTCATTCAAAAATGGATATGGACCCATCCGGGAATGTCAGCTACGTGGCAGCAGGCACTTGTTTGTGGTCACTGCTGAATTTCCAGTACCTAAAATAGTACCTGGCACAGACTAGGTGTTTGAGCAATCAGTATTTGCTGATTGACTGGTTGTCTAAACACCCACTAGGCACTGGAGTTACAGGGAAATCAAACTAAAACAGCTGCTGTTTTCCCGAATCTAGTGGTGAAGGTTACCCACAAATAATGTTCATTTTGTCTATGTAACAGTTTGGTCTTTAAATGATAAAATGCATGTATTTGTTTCAATCGATACACATTTATGTTTACTTGGGTTTATATTTATTTAAAAAATAATCTACATGTTTATCTTGTACAAGTCTCTTGTAGTCTCCTCCATACCCTGTTAGGTTGTACCTCTGCTCTGACTGTAATGGTTGCCTGGAATACCTTCCTCTCACCACCTTAGATGGGGCTAACTCCTGCACATTCCTTAAGACTCCACATAACCATCACCTCCTCCAGGAAGCCCTCCCTGGCCCCAAGGCTTAGGCTGACTATGCCTATTACACTCTCATCTCTGTCCCACTGACAAAATTATCTACCATATTATACTGAGGGCTTCTTGAGACTTGGCCCATTGTGCATATTACTCTGATAAAAGATGACATTTTTCTTCAATTGCATGGGGATAAACCACAGGACCCAATGTTTTGTTGTCAGGCAGCTGTGTCTGGGGAGGCCTTTCTCTTCGCACTAAGTAAAACCTCAGTGAGTGGGGGAGGCTTCTTCACTCTGGACAAGAAAAAATTCTTGACCAGTTGGAAGAGTATATAGGTAAGGAAGGAATCTATTGAAGGGAGTGCAGCAGCAAATGGCAGCAGCCTTGCTGGCCCCAGAGAGAAAGAACAACAGCGGGAGGAAAGGGAAGCTCACTGAACTCCTGCTCAACTTAGGGCAAATCCCTTGCCAACTGCTAAAGCCAGGGCCACCTGGTATCCAGGGTCCACTTGAGTCTGCATGGTGTTGGGACTGAGCCCCCACCACCCCAGGATTTGGGGGAGCCACAGAGCACTGGCTGGAGTGAGATTATGTTCTGAGAACTCTCCAAAGGCAAAGAAAGGAGATTTTCAGGCAGGCTACTGAAAAGCATGATTGTACAGCTGCAGTCCTGTCCGGGTCACCCAGGCAATGGAACTTGCAAGCCCAAATCAGAGCTCTCAATACCCTCCCCTACTTGTCTGAAGTAAAACAGAGAGAGATGTAAGACTGGTGCTTAAGTCTAGAAAATTGAATGAAACAGCAAAGTAACCAAGACACTTACCCTGAGAAGAGCACAGAGACAAAATGCAGTAAGTTGAGCAGTAAGAAGTATTTATTTAAGGCAAAAAGTACACACTTAAAGAAAGGGAGTGTGGGCAGCCTCAGAGAAGAGGCTCACTTAAGGGCTTAGGATTCTGTCTTTTAAGACTTTCAAGAATGGGGCAAGGGATGGGGTTTTAGAGGAGGTGCATAGGCTTGATATGTGGTCTAATGATGTGTATCTCTGGTGAGAGACATTATGTCACTGTCCAGTCAGTCCTCTAGATAATTCTGTAAGATACACTTAGCACAAGGTATTTATTTGTTTTTCTCCAAGATAGGGGTACCCTCAAGCACTGGGAACATATCAGTTAGGGCTACTTGCCCTGCCTTAAGATAGGTTATTGAATGATTACCAAAGAATAAATTAGCAATCTTACCTCCTCTAACTTCCTGGTTTTTTAAATGGAATCTTAGCCTTAGGATAGAGTCCCTCCTGTTTTTACTATACTGTTTATATCTTGGCATTTTTCATCATAGGTAGGAAAAGTTAATCATGATGCTTGTCCCTGTTTCAGTTGCAAGGTCTCTACTTCAAGGAAATAAATCTAAACTAGAAGACAAGTAGCAAGACCAGCTACAGTATTTGAAAAGTCCAGTGCAAAATGAAAATGCAGAGCTCCTAGCTCAAAAATGAGCAAGAATTTAAAGATAGTAACAGCAGGGCACTAAAACAAGCCCAGGGTCCTTTTTTGCATGGGATCCCATGCAATTGCTCAGATAACAACCCCATGAAACCACCTGGTCCCCAAATTTAATTGAGAGTAGCATCCCAGGACCACACTGAGAGGAAAGCAAACTCCACCTTTCAGCTTTGCTGAACCTTCAGCTTGGAAATCCTTACAGGCAGTAAGTGTTAGGGGCTGGCATTTCTGCCTGGGGCTTCTGGTCAGTGCTGATGCCAGGGGGCTGTCTGGAGGTGGGTCGGCAGATTGGTAATCTGGGCCAAGGTCTAGTCTCTTGAAGCCCCACCCAGCCCAGAACCCGTGGTTTCCTAAGGCCTGAGGGGAGAGATTTGGTCACTGACTGGTTTGCGCTCAGCTGTGACTCAGCACTTTTTCTGTGGGACTTTGTATCTGACAAAGGACTTCCTGCAAAGCACTTGCCAGTTGACCCAGCCCAGTGATGTGTACTGATGATGAAAGTGGCAACCCTGCTCTGGGCTCCTCCTATGTGTCAAGCACTGGCTAAACCCCACATTATTTCACTTGAACCTTCCTTCAATCAGTGCCATTTAGTTTAATTCAATTTTATGTGTGTGTTTGGGGAAGGTGAAGTACAGTAGGTACTTTCCAGTACCCCTTTCTCAAAATTCATTCTTTTTCATTTGATTTTAGTAGCCAAGTCATTCATATGCATTTATGCATTATTATAAAAAATTTAAACCATACGGTTAAAACATAAGTGACCCTTGACCTCCCTATGTTATTCTAGTTTGTAAACCTTCCCTGCTTTTGGATGCATTTACATGTCTAAACATGAATGTATGTAAAGATAATACTTTGTTATGTTGCTGGACTCTGCATCTGGGGAGGTCTCTCCCTGCCCTGTGCACTAGGTGAAACTTCAACTTGGACAGGGGAAGGTTCTTGACTCTGGAGAAAAAGAATTCTTGAAGAGGTCAGACAAGTGTAGATAAGGAATTGATTAAAGCTGGAGTCGTAGTGAATGGCGCCTGCTTTGCAGAGGTAGGAAAGGGAAGCTCATTGAACTTCTGCTCGGCATAGGACAAATGCTTTGCTAACTCCTAAAGCCAGGGTCACCTGGTGTCCACTATCTGCTTGGATCTGGACTGTGTGGGAAATAAGCCCGTACCAACTCAGGATTTGGGGGAGCCACAGAGCACTGGCTGGAGTGCGATTATGTTCTGAGAGCTTCCCAAAGGCAAAGGAAGGATAATTTCAGGCAGAGCATGATTGTGCAGCTGCAGTCCTGTCCGGGTCACCCAGGCAACAGGGACTTGCAAATCCAAATCAGAGCTCTCAGTAACCCTTCCCTCCTTGTGTGACACAGGACGGAGAGAGTTAAGACGTGCTTAAGTCTGGAAAATTGAATGAAATGGCAAAGTAACAAAGATGCTTACACTGGGAGAGCACAGAGACAAAATGCAGTAAGTTGAGCAGGAAGGAGTCTTTAAGGCAAAAAGTACACAATTGAAGAAAGAGGAGTGTAGGCAACCTCAGAGAAGAGGCTCACTTAATGGCTTAGGATTCTGTCTTTTAAGGCTTTTAAGAATGGGGCAAGGGGCATAAGAAGAAAACAAATCCTACCATTTGCAACAACATGGATGGAGCTAGAGAGTATTATGCTCAGTGAAATAATCAGGCAGAGAAAGCCAATGATTTCACTCCTCTGTGGAGTATAAGAACAAAGAAAAAACTGAAGGAACAAAACAGCAGCAGACTCACAGAACCCAAGAATGGACTAACAGTTACCAAAAGGAAAGGGACTGGGGAGGATGGGTGGGAAGGGAGGGAGAAGGGGGAAAAAGGGCCATTACAATTAGCACATATAATGTAGGTGGGGGGGGCACGGGGAAGGCAGTGTGACACAGAGAAGACAAGTAGTGATTCTACAGCATCTTACTACGCTGATGGACAGTGACTGTGATGGGGTACGCAGCGGGGACTTGATAATGGGGGGAGTCTAGAAACCATAATGTTGCTCATGTAATTGTACATTAATGATACCAAAATAAAAAAAAAAAAGAATGGGGCAAGGGGCAGTGGAGGGCAAGTGGTGGCATAAGCTTGACATGTGGTCTCACGATGTATCTCTGGTGGGAGACATTATGTCACTGTCCACAGTCAGTCCTCTAGATAAGATAATTCTGTAAGATACACTTAGCACAAGGTATTTATTTCTGTTTTTCTCCAAGGGTTACCCTCAAACACTGGGAAAACATCAGTTAGGGCTGCTCGCCCTGCCTTCGGATAGGCTGTTGGCTGATTACCGAAGAGAATATGATAGGAATCTCACCTCCTAACTCCCTGTTTTTTAAAATGGAATCTTAGCCTTATGATGGAGTCCCTCCTGTTCTTACTATACTGTTTGTATCTTGGCATTTTTCATCATAGGCAGGAAAAGTTAACCATGATGCTTGGCCCATGTCCCCGCCCCACCTCAGTAGTTAAGAACTAAAGAATCTAGGTGGTAAGTATACGGGTGTTCGCTATATAGTTCTTTCAACTTTTCTGTATGTTTACAAATTTCCATAATAAAATTTTTGGGAAAATATATTCAGTATGATCCCTTTCACTTAACATGTTGCTTTATCAGATATTTTGATCTATCCATCAACTATCTTATTTTAAGGTGCATTTCAAATAAATTACAGATATCAGCACCCTTCACCCTGATAAGGAAATGATGTCCTAAAATTAAGTGAGATACTGGCAGAGAACAGGGGAGAGAGACAAGAGGAGCTGGTCAGTCAATGGCCATGTGGCTAACCAGACTCCATGGACCTGAGTCAAGTAACATCCACAGTTATCTAGAAGGTCCCCAGGACCATTGCATCCCTTTTACTGAGCAGTCCCTGTCATCCAAGAGGCAATTCATGAGCATTCTCAAAGGACTACCTACCAATTTCCGGGCTTTCCCTATTTCCTGTTTGCTTGTCTTCCCTTTTTCCTATAGGCAATGTAAATTTAAACAACCTTTTTTCCTCAAGGCCTCTTATTAATGTTCCCTGTTTCTTGACTCTGGTGGACAGTTATTTCTGTTAAGTGGCTTTGCTGCTGGTAAAGCAGAAACTTCCTGAGTCTGTCCAGTCCTTTTTCTAGCTCCATCTGCAATGGCTCAGAAAACCTTTTATTTCAGAGAGCTATCTTTACAGTTTTCGATTTGTCAACTCTTAAACACTTCAGAATACACATTATTTAGCGTGTAAAAAAAAGTTTTTTTTTTAAATATAGTCAAAATATTGTAACAACTTTGTATGGTGATAGCTGGTAGCTAGAATTATCATGTATATAAATGTTGAATCACTGTGTGGTACACCTGAAACTAATGTAATACTGTGTGTCAACTACCCTTCAATAAAAATAAATAAAATAAAATGAAAAATAATAAAAAGAAATTTTTTTTAGGTTAAATTTACATCATGTGTAATGTATTTTTGTGTTTTTCTACAACTTCTTTTCCCCCTTCTATTTAATGTCCTCCCTAAGGCCGCGTCTGCCTCTCCTTTTTAATTGTGGGACAACTTCGTTAAACGGATGTGCTCCTGTCAACCTACTCAATCCTCTTTTGATTTGATGGACATTAGGCTCTTTCAAGATTTGCACGGAAAGGGAGTATTCTGTTATGTTTTCCAATGCCCTTTCTTGTTTATGCCTCCTGGGTTCCTGCAAATGTTGCTCTAGAATAGCTACTGATAAGTGGAATTGTTCCATCGAAGAGAATGCCCATTTTGAATTGTAACAGGTCTTGCTGACTTGTCCTCCGCTCCCCAATAACTCCCGCAATCACTGCGCATTTCCCACACCTTTGTCTACACCAAACAGACCGTCACTTAATCTGCAGACAGTCGGATGGTTAAGTAAATGATGAGGGCCAGTGCGGCTGGAAAAGAAACGGCAAGCGGAGCCCAACGCAGGCTGTCTGAAGAGATGGTGAGATTGGGTCAAAAAAGCGAGTACCCCTGCGGCGTCCTTATTAACAACCGCACCTCGCCGGCATTTTCTCCCGAGGACCCCAACGTGGGCCGGCCGAGGGTTGCCACGTGCCAGCCGCAGGGGCGTGCCCTCCACAGGCCCCGCCCCCGCTGCGTGCGCACGTCGGCCTCCCCGCGCGGGCTCGCACGGTTGCGGCGGTTGCGGCGCCTGAGGGAGTCGCCGGCCGACCCTGGGACGCAGCGACGCACGGCTGACGGACCGCGAGCAGATCCGCGGCCGGTAAGTGGGCGTCCCTGGGGCTCCTCGGCGGGCCTGGCCGCCCGGACCTCGGGAGCTGGGCTGTGCCGGTGGCTGCCCGCTGCGTCCTGGGCGCCGGGCTGAGGGAGACCCGGCGGGGGCTGCCGGAAGCGGGGTGCGCGGGGAGACCCCGCTCCCCGGACGACGTCGCTGAAGTTGGGGAGGCCCGAGCCGCCCGTTCGCGTCGGTCCCAGTTGGGCCCACGCCCTCCCGGCGTCACGAGTGCGCTGGCGAGGGGACCCCGGGGCCGCCGCAAGCGGGCTTGGCATCCCCGGCGGGGTCGCGGCCTCTGACCGCGCAGCTGGCCCGGCGGACGTGGGCGCCCACCTGCCGCGGCGTCGGAGTCCGTGCGCGGCGTGAGCCGGGGCTCTGCCCATCTCCTGACTCAGCACCGTCGGAAGGGCTCTTTGAATCACGGTCGTGACTTCATGGGTGACCCGCGGCCGCCGGAGGGGGCGGGGTCTGCGCCCCGCGGCCGGGGAGTCTGGGCTGCGAGTTGGCCTGTCCCCTAAGCGCAGCGCTGCGGCGGCGGGTAATCCATTGCCCAGGACCGCCTTGCGCGCTCTGCACAAGGTCTGTCTGTGTCCTGCCATTTAAATTGGTTCTGATGAGTCAGTTGTTGTGGCCCGTGGCTGTTTACCCTTGTTGTGTCGTATTCGTGGCTCTATGAACCAGGTAGGGCAGAGGGAGACTGAAGACATCACGCTCTAGTGCTGTACAGTTCAGGAAGCCCTCTTACTTTCAGCCCCTTCCAAAATCTTGAGAACTGCTAGTTCAACCATAAAATGGGGCTAATGATGAGACTCGGGTTAAGTGACTTGACCCGCATCCCACAACCAAGAAGATGGCACCGATTGTCTTGAACCTAGTCGTCTGCCTGCAGATCCAGTGCTCTTTCCTAGAAGGAGTTATAGGGGATGGGAATGGATTATGCTATTTTAAGTATCTTCCTCCGCCTAACCTGCCCTCCCAAGTAAAAAGAAACAGGAGCTCACTGGTTTTGCGTATTTGAATTTCTGGCATGGAGTTTAACCAGTGTGTTTTGATTAAAATTTTAGCTCCTTCACTGAAAATTACAGTTTTTCTTTTTCAGGGAGGGGAATAAGGAATATACATGAGTAAATCTGTGCTTTATTGCATTAGTTTTTTCCAAGAAACAGTACAAAATATCACAAGCTTACCAGGAGCTCACAATTCTTTTGGGCAAATGGGAAAACGCTTTTAGATAAAGTGCCTAAGCCAAAACACTGGTGAAGTTGTGGGAATTCGAGGGGCCTTGGAAACATACAGTCATTGAGTAACCTCATCTAAGTAGGGATGTGAAGAGGAAAAATCTTTGATTCCCCCATAGTCTGACTTGATTTGCCTTTTTCCTTGCTTGAACCATTAAAGTGAGATACTCTGAGTCACCAGTCAGGAGTATGAGCTAATCTAGAAATAACAATACCAAGGAGAAGATGAGTTACAGAAAGTAAAGTATTCATTGCGTTTAGCTCATCCTTCATCAGATCTGTTGAAAAGCAAAACTGGACAGCTGGGGCCTTTGGGCTACCTTGATTTTTTTTGGTTTCTTTTTAAAAGCTGACTCACTTTGTAAGACTGTTGGGCTCTGCATCAGAATTGCACCAGAAATGGAATATCATTCTGTCAGAAGGAAGATATTTTTGAAAATTGGAATTAGATGTTTCAGCATAAAATTTAGATTTCAGTTTATGACTCCTTGGAGAGAAAAGATGAAAAACTTGAATATAAATTACTTTCTTTTGTATATTATTGGTCATAGTTAACTAAAAAGTTACAGATATTTAATGCAATCTTTTTTTCTGATAGTAGTCAATGAGAATTAAGAGGTCTGGGTTACATTTCTTTTTGCGTTAAATACAGTGAAGCTATCTGCTTTTTAACCTAACTTCATTAGATCTGTTAGGTTTGTTTGTGCAAAAACATGGGATGAAAGCTCTGTCTCATAATCTGAATGATTTCTCAGGATATTTTGCACTGAAGCAGTGCCATTACTGAATAATTCTTGCCAGCAATGAGAGAAGAAGGAGTCTTTAATTGGAACAGTTAGAGAAAGAAAAAAAAAGCCCCCCTCCCACTTTTTAATACTGTAAGATATTTCACTCTCGCGTTCTGTAATGTTTACTATGTAGTTTACTTTTCCACATTGGCTCCATTTATTTACCACAAAATACTGTCTCCCATTGTGTTACACCTTTTAAAGCCAATTAATGCAGGCAGCTGAGTCCCTAAGAAATTTTCTTTTTACTTTCTGATAAATTTGATATACAGTATTGAAATACAGTAGCCTATAACTGATGGTCTGGTTTAGCAATGTTATGTATATTTAAAGATACGCAGTTATATGTATTTATATATGGACCACTGTCTTCAGTGTCCATTGTCTTTCCACTTAAGAATTAACGGTCGTTATTGAAGGTCACTGTAGATAATTTAAGGGTGTGTAGCTTATTGTAAAGGGACTCTATTTACAAGCAGCCCATCAGAGGATTTCATCTAAATTGCAGTCATGGCCTATCGAAATGGAGCAGGGAGCTCTTTCTGGATTCTTGTATCAAGCACATCTATGTTCAGACCTTAGAAGGCAATATTCTGAGCCCTTAAGTAGGCATTTCAAAACAGCAATTAAATTTATGAAGCTCTCATCAGTGAGCAGCTTTTAATGTTGCTTTGATGTGATTTTAAAAGCCTTTTGGCAAGCATGCATTTCTCTGTGGTAATAGTAATCAAAGAGCTGTCTAGTCTGCTTATGGAGCAGGAATTGCATCGGAGCACATGTGTTCTTGCTGTTCAGTGATGGGATTGGTGTCAAGGAGGATTCTTTTTTCAAATATATGCTTGAGTATCTTACTGTATGAAAGCCCACAGATACACTGACTTTTGGTTGTATTTCAAAATGATCGAATTAAGTATAAAATTAAGCTAATTAATCGATTTGTCACCTTTTTTTCACTGAGTCATTCAACACTAGACGTTTATGTGTATGTTTTCCAGATACATACTCATTTATGTTAGAGTGAAAAATAGTTTGTTTCTCCCAGAAAAGGAAGTTGTGGTGGTATATTTTTGACCATGAGAAAAACAAACCCTTTGAGCAGCAGTTTCTGTATCTGAAAAGTGAGGTTAATACTTGATGAGCCTTAAGGTCTTTGGTGCCTTGAATGCTGCTTGTTGAGCTAAGGCAGGGGTTTCCAGACCTTCCTGTTTTAGTACGTATGGGACTGGGTCTGGGAATCTGTGTTTTTAGAATTTGCCCTGTGATTCTTGTTTGGGGCCCCCAGTTCTAAAGCACACGCTAGACAGAAGAGGGAATAGGCTGGCAAGAGAATAGAGAAGTGAGTCAGCTCCGTGAGGATGGGACAGCAGAAGAGGGAAGAAAGGGGCGATTGTTGCTTGTATGATTGGTGCTGTTAGCTTGTATGCCAGGGGCCCAGAAAGTGGATATTCTCTTCCCTCTGCTTAGGGAAAACAAATTAAATTTTGCCACACATAAAGATTTTTGTTTCCTTCCTAGGAGTATAACAGTTTGCGGTAACTTTAAAAGGGCTTTGCACCCTGCCTGTCTTTTTCTAAATATGCAGTTTCCTGCCTTCTGATAAGCTCAGTCTTGAAGTCTCAAGTTTCATTGTCTTGTCTCATATTCAGTCTCACAATTACCTGAGAGCTCTGGGAGGGTGCTAGCACGATTAAAACAATCTGTTGGCATGCTTTTAGCTAACCCAGTTGGACTTGGCTTGCCTCATCAGTTGCTCTGATGGTCATTTTTTTATGCTTAATACTGGGGCCCATAGAGCATACAGATGTACTGAGGGAATTGATGGGACAGGATATTTGAATCAGAACTGGCCTGGAAAATCTGGAACATTAAGACTATTTTAGCACTGTTGTCAGTACTGCACAATCAGTATCTTTACTGTGGTATACCTTGTGTTATCTTTTTAGTTCTTTCTCTCTCTCTTTCCCTGTCTCTCTACTGAAAGCTACTTAAAGTCCAGAACAAGTCTTAGGCCTCTTTGTAGTCCTCCAGCTGATGAGCATTTAAAAAATTTGGTGATGATAGCATGGCATGCCGTGCTCAAGTGCAGCCCCTTCTTTGGATACTGCTCTATCTGGCAAGACCACTTGCTGCCAAGGAACTGTTGTCACTTGGAACTGTTTCCAGGGCATTAGGGAGGAGGGCAGGTGGGAGAGGGAAAGAACTGGTGAGCAAAAGTGAGCATGGGTTGGGAGAGTGGTCTAGGTAGTATTTGAAGGCAGATAAGAAAAGCAGATGTAGTAAAATGGCATGAAATCTTTACACCCTTGGTTTCCTACAGGAAGGCCAGAGGGGGAGTCAGGCCTTCTCTTTGCTTAGAAGTATCAGGTATCCTACTAATTAGAAAATGACTTTTTAAAATACTCCATTCCTCTACCACACACTTCGGTTTTTGTTGGAGTCAGCAAAATTTCCAATTATCTGTGCTCAGTGTAATGTTTGTCCTGCTTTGTAAGACTTTTTGTGTTTGCAAAGTCATCCTAGTGGACCCAAAAGGACTGACTGCTGTAGGTTATGCTTCTTGCCTTTGCATTTTGGCTTTCCCAGGATGTCTCGCCTGAGGGCTTCAGCCCGGAGCAAGTTCTCTGTGGATTCGGTTAGACTGAATAATGACAGCGGAACGTTGGGGGTAAAAGGGAGCTCTCATACCAAGCTTTATTCTTGTGGCGGTAGTTTGAGTACTAGAATCCCCTCTGCCTCCATCTCTGCCCCTGGCTCGGCTCTCTGCCCCAGGCTCTGCTCTCTTCTCTCCTGCCCTCTTGCTCTTCTCTAGGATCTCTTCTCTCCTTGCTTCCCTTTGTCCTTAGCACTGGGCAGAACTCTTCTTACAGCAATACTTGCGGTAATAACGTATTGCAATGGGTATGCAACCATGCGGCCTGCCTGCATAGTAGACTAGGTACCTCATCTCAGATATCCAGTGGGT